CCCTTGGTGTCCCTCCCCCGTTTAAAAAAAAGAGCTTAAGGGGGGGGAAACATTCAAAAAAAAAAAAAAAAAAAAAAAAAAAAAAACACATATGTGACTCTCTTTTGCTGACGAGGTAAAAGCATTGTTTGGAGGTAGTTTCCCAATGAGGCACACGGACGAAAGAAAAAACTAAACGTCCCTCAACAGTAGACAAATTTACTTTTTAACCACAAATATATTTGAATTGAAAGAAAAATGGAAGGATACATCTTATTAATCAGAGGTACATGTTTCCATAGAAGGACATTAACACTTGGTCTGCTGGTTTAGTAAACAGGAAAGTGGCACTTTTAAATTATTGATTTTTAAATTAAGGGTAGACTACTTCAGCTCTTCCTCTATCCCTAATTAAAGAAGCAATAATGTTGTCTCATTGTAATTAACCATACTTATTTTTGTTCCTAGCTAGAAAGAACCCGGTGCCTTAAAAAAAAAAAAAGTTGCTTAGTATTGAAAATGGCGATGAGTATATTTTGGAGTACTGTCATCGAGTTTCTTCAGAAATATAGTTGCAGCTGCATCAGATCTGAAGACAAGGAAACAACTGATTAAAGGAGACGGCCTTTGTGTTGTTCAGCTGCTACGCAGATGCTGAGGGTGAGGAATGCTGCACAACCAAATAATTCAAAAGATGTTGTCGTTGCACCCAGACAAGGTAACAAGGAAGAACACTAGCTGTGCCCTTTGAAAGTATTCACACTATTGTTTTACTTTCGGTCACATTAAAGTCACAAACTACTTTGGATTTTTTTTCTTCTGAAAACTGCAAAATGCAAAGATAATGAGATATGGTTTTAACACTTTTTTTTTATAAACAAAGCGTGCCCCTGCTTTTGTAATCCTGCCACCTGAGAGAGTACGGTTAGATGCAACTACAGCTGCAAATTGGGTGTATGTTTAGGGCTGGTGACAAGGAAGGTGAACCGTCGCCTCGGTCTCAGGTTATATGCAGGCTCCAATAGCTAGTCTTCCTGAATTACCCTTTATCTAACTCCATCAATCTTTCCATCAATTCTGGGTAGATGCCCAGTTTTTCCTAAAGATGCATGATGCTGCCACCCCCATGTTTTGCAGTGATAATGGTATGTTAAATGTAATTTGCAGTTTTAATTGTTTGCCACTTTTTATGCAGGTCAAAAATTAACATTGTGGTCTCCCCTGATTGTGGCATGTCTGTCCATTTGTTTGCACATGGCTTGTAGTGGACTGCAGTCTTGTGGATTTTTCTCAACAGCCTTTCTTCTTGGCTGTAGTGTCTACCATAGAGTCCTGATTTGTGGAGAAATCCAGTCAACAAACCCCCCTCCCCATCTGATCTGAGGATTTCTGTTCTGCTTTTGGTGATGGCAGCACCTCCCTGTGATGCTTTTCTGATCAGAGTTCTCCATCCAACTTGACCGAGTCTCTTGATGTGCAAACTCTACAGATTCATACCACAATGAAAGTATGGTTTAGGTTTGTGTTTGTAAAATAAAATAAAAAAAAAGCACATTTATCTTTGTCTTCCCTATTAGATAAATAAAAGATTAGGTTTTGGCTACAGCATAATAAAATGTTAAAAGGTTCAAGGTGTACTAAGTAATACTTTCCATCCTTGAAACCTTTTTGAAAAGGAAGTGCCTAAAATTAAAACGCCCCGCCTTTATAACGAATCTGTAATTGCAAAGTACGACATGTTACCGGTTAAAAAAAATCACAGCAGCCAATTCTGATGTTTCATCTTATTTACGATAGCTTTAAATCCACTCACCAGTTTTCTTGCATCCATTCCAGAGCTCGAGTTTCATCGAAACGTCGCTCAAAATCAAAAAGGTTCAGTTCGCTCTCGTTCATTTTCTTCCGCAGTTGAGTTGAAGTTTCCGGATTATTTAATCGACGGGAGAGGGAATTAATATATTCACCAGAAATACAGTGGCTACTCAAAGCTACAATGTGATCGCTGCAGCTTTATCCAGCTTCCAGGTAAGTACTGAATAGGAGGAACAGAAGAGGTGTGCTCGGATGTTGAGTCCCGCTGTCACTTTTCTTGATAAAACTAGCTTTAGGATGTCTAGCCGTTTCCGGCTCAGACTTTCACAATAAAACACCACGGAGGCGTCACAGAGCTGTTTAAAAAAATCAAAAAGGGACAAGAGACAAAGGAAAATAATTGATATCGGATTTTTTTTTTTTTTTTTTTTTTACATAGTTACACTCGTAGGGGGAAATTATACATGCTTTTATCTTAGTATGTGTAACACAAGAATATACAACGGTGCCATACACTTTACTCTGATGATCACAAAAATAATTCTCTCCATATATAGCATATAAATATATGTGTGTGTGTGTGTGTGTGTAAATTTCTCATCTTTTCGTTTGTTAGCCATCTTTCATAGTATGTGGTGTTGGCTTTTATCTTCATTCTTTCAATCTAAAAGGCAATTCCTTCCTGTACACGTCTGCTCATCTTATCTTTATTGTCTTTTTTATAGTGCAGTCATATTATCTGCCCTTAAACTGAACTCACTCACTGGTATGCTCTTTATTCCAAGTACATCAATAAGAAAAGGTTCAGCAGCTCTCAAGTTTCATAACATCCGTCACATCTGGGCATCTTAACAGTTCTAGATATGCAAAAGCAGGTGGTTAGGCCAGTTTACAGAGGTTTGTAAAATTACTTTGTTGTACTTAAGTTTTGCATGGCTAAAATGAAAAGTTCCTCATCTGCCAATTTGAACTATTAGAACTGTCAATAGTTCAAATAAATAAAGTCAAATAATTAAAAAACTTTTTCATTTTCATACTTAACACAGATACATGTGCATAATTTTGGTCATTCATCCGAGGAATTCCTGAAAAATGAAACAGACAAGAAACAAAACCTTAAAGAGGTTCAGGAAGTAACTTCAAAAGGTTTGGTGATTGTGTTGTTAACCCCATAACTGGTGGGACCAAAATCACCAAACACGGCTGAAAAGGCACACCCAAATTAAATCAGCTGCTGTTCTTGAACAATTTGGAGTACATGTAAAAGCTTGGTCTCTTTATGAAGAAGACAAGCTAAATTTTCAATTTTTGCAGTCAAAAATACTCTAACTGTAAGTGGTTTAGGTTTGAAACACAAAAATAATTGAAGAATTTTGCTTTAAATTTTTTTTTCATTTTTATTTCTTGTAAATACACATTGAGTGTTGAATGTATGAACTGGAAAAAAACAATAAATCTGTTGAATAAAGTATTCTGCTCATGGATTTATATCACAAAATCATTTTGGACATTTATTTATGAGGATGTAAAGGTGTTGTCCAAGTGTGCCATCCGGAGTCTCCATTCAGCATCTCCAAACGGCACACTTGGACTATCACTCACTCCTCAGTGTTTCAAGACTGGGGAGTCACAGTCCTCAGTGTGGACTGAGAACTCATTGGTGAGCCCCTCCCCTCCCCCCGCACTCTAGCGGCTACGGTGACCCTCCCTTCGCCCCCCTCCCCCGCAGTACCTGACCGTGACAGTGATGAGTCACAGTACTCAGCATAGACGTAGACGCCTCATGGAGCGGGTCGGCCTGTTGCTGCGATATGTCACAGCGTCCGCCATATTGAATGTGGACTATGTGCCAGTAAGCTAATACAGGTAAATGGACCGAACTTCTCCTCTAACAGCGGTTGTTCATCAGCTCTCTCTCATTAGAAAACAGTGTGAAAACACTGTGTGTGTAACACAGTGTAACACTGTGTAACGCTAACAGTGTGTGTTAGCGTTACTGGCCCGCAGTAACGCTAACAATCAGCGTTACTGCGGGCCAATTAAGCTACATAGGAAGTATTTTTCGGTTGTTTAGGAGCGAATTTCTGGCTGCAAAGTCAAATAATTCTGATCTTTAATCCTTACCTGTGAAAGGTAATGCCAGTGAATCCAGTTTGTTTCGTAAAACGGTTGAAACAAGTCCACACAGCACAGGACTTAAGGAGCTCCGATCGCTCTGCTGCCACATGGAAGATGGCGGACGTTGTTACGTACAACTCAGCGCTGAGGTGTCTACGTATTGATGTCTATGGTCCTCAGTGCGGACTGAGTGCTCATTGATGGGCCATTAGCGCCACGGAGAGATTTTTTCTGTCCTGTGCTTACAGGACAGAAAAAAGTCCTGTAAACACAGTTACGCATAAAAAACAGGATGGAAAAGACAAGTTCTGTCTGTTCACATAAGTCAAATTCTTTGGTGATTTTCTAGGGGTAAGGAAGACACTTAAAACCTGGAGAAAAACAAAACAAGGTTTCGGTGAAAAATAAATCTCTCTGACAATTAAGGTATTTGTTTAAATGTTTAGAAAGGGAGGAACAGGAGAGATTCCAGATGTAACCGACATGAGAAAATCCTGTTTGAGAATGACCTTTGCTCTCTCTGACTTTTACTCACTCTGGACCTTTGCTCTTTCTCTCTCTTCATCTTTGGTTTTGAATAGATCTCAAAGAAGGTGACAAAATCATTTAGACCATCCCATTTAGGTAATTTGAAACTGCTTAGAGGTTTAGAAGGAGAGGACACACCTTCAATGCATATATTAAAATGAGGAACACACCTCTCAAATAAAAGTCCCCATTTTATAGCAGCAAGCTAAATTGCTTTGTTTGCAGCCGCACGAGCAATTCCCAAAGGCGTATTTGCTTTTTCTCTTATTTTTGTATTTTCTTGATGGTTTGGGCGTGATTCTGGTCTGCTTCTCTATGCATTTCATTGTCTGAATAAAACCCTAGATATGTCTGAAGTTGAATGGTGACTGGTTGTTCTCTGTGTGGTTTCCACTGTGTACATGCAGAACCCTGAATTCGGGACACCAGAGGAAAACAACAAGCAAAGAAGTTTAACATTTTATTCCTCTAATTCAACATTACGCATGCAGCTGGTGGATTCATGTCAAAACAAACCCCAAAATGCCTTATATCCTTATGACAGGACAGGTGTTGGCTACACATCGGTGGCTTTAGATTTAGTTTCCGAGTTGACCAGTCAGAAATATTGCAGGCATGTCAAAATGAGCTTCCGTCGCTCTCTGGGTATTATCGGCTCGGAAAAAGCCATTTCAAAACATTATTGTCCCCCCCCCCTCATGTCAGTCACTAGGGGGTATCTAGGCTAACATATCTAGACAGAGTTTAAAGAGGAGAAAAAAGGCAGAGAATTCAGACACACTGGATTTGTTCCACTGGTGGAACACCATCAGTTAAGGGGTTAATTTCGTGTAACCAGACACTGTAAAAAAAAAAAAAAAACTGTTCAGAAGCAGGATCCATTTTACTTTTGTTTCTTGAACACTTTTTAACTTCCGTGTATGACCGACTTTCCCTCAAGTTAGTTTTTCCTATGAGCAGATTGAACAATTTTGTTTTAGAGCCCCTGCCCAATTAAGCAACAGAGTACCCCTTTCTTTTTTTACGTTTGTTTAACATTTGTTGTCTATATCAGTTTACAAATCGGTTTACATTCTTGTATAAAATACAAATTTACAGCAATCCTCACTGCACATTTGTTTTATTTGCATTTACAAGGCCTTTGACTCTTTTCTTTCCACATGCAACATCCTCTCAGTATCTCTTGTCACTTTTGCTCAAATTACATTTTAAGGCTTTATAAAATGTTACCTTTCCCCTGAGATGGATTACATTTTCCTGTTTTTCCTATTAATCTAAGAGCTTTATTTGAAGAAACAGATTCAGTTTTATTTTACTCTTTTTTTCTTTATTTTTTTGTTCCATCGTCCTGTAGAGAGAACAAAGCTCCATTACACATCTCAATAGACTTTTGTTGTTAGTATTTATTCCACTGATCCCTCTGCCTTCTTTCACTCTTTCGTTTATAATCATCTTCTCCTCTGCAGTGAAATAATAACCGCACGTGTCAGTGGTGTGAGGACGACAAAGAGGATTTGAAGATGAATCACAGGCAGAGTGATGGACGGCAGATGAAGGACACAGTTTACAAATGAAAAATGTGCTACTCTAGGTAAGAAAAACAAATAAGAGCTACAATGATGAGCTTCAAAACACCAAATACAAACTCACAGGACACTACAGTGTCATGTGGAAGAAGGAGAAATACACATGCAATGACATAGATCAACATTATACAAGGGAGATTTACAAGGTAGAAGGGTGATACTGGCCTCATTAGAAAACACGAGGGTAGAGGTACAGTGATAAGTTGCAATAACACGGCAGCCTTTGAGCTGATTTCAAAGTCTTGATTTGTGCAGTAAAAGGGGGCAGTTTTGTTTTGCATCGTGGCGCTCTGATTATTGTTTTTATGCTTAGCAATGGCGAGCTGGTGTCTGCTCTCTACAGAATTCAGGTTCAGGATTTTATGTGTTCGGCATCGATGGAAGAACCCTCTTAAGATGGAGAACGAGGCACCGAGGCACGTGAAACGGGAGCCCACCTGTTTCACGGGTCTGTCACTTAAACTCACTGTGAGGCTGCCTTGCTTGCGTAGGTTTCTTGTTTTTATCCGTGTTCAGGACAGAAGAGAAGAGAGAGAGAAGAGAAAGCAAAAGAACAGAGAGCAGGCGTAGATGTTCCTTTTTTGTTGTTGTTGGTGGGGGAGTAACGGAGCAGAGCTACCGAGTGAAGTTGTAAAAAAAAAAAAAAAATCAAACAGATCCTAAACAAGCAGATGTTGTGTAAGAGTCGGAGAGTCCAGAGTCGGAGAACATACTTTTTTTTTTGGTCACTTTTTTCTCTTTTTCCGATTTTTATGTTTGTTACAGTTCGTTATTTTGGTTTCTTGTTTAGAACAGTTCCGTTTAGAGGTTTGGGATGGAGCCTGAGGCAGGTGGTCGGAAACACTCGGCCCATAACGGGAAGCCTCAGATGATGCCGTACTGGGCCAGCTCGTGCAGCTCCAGGTGGTTGAAGGCCTCCCAGGGGCAGATGACGGTGATATCTGGGGATAGAGGTGGAAATGTGAAGTTGCTTAGGCGCCTTCTCAATCGCTGAAATGTTCTGCAGTTTAAGTCTTACTGTAAACTCACCTGTGCCCAAGCCCTCCATGCCAGGAATGTCATCTCCAAAGCTGAAATAACACCATAGATTACACATTAAAACATGCATTCATTCTTTTTTTTTTGTAAGACCTGAAGGAGAAAAAGCTTTAGTCGAGACGTACCCTTGAATTCCTTTCTTTGGAGGCTTACTCTTGAACTGTCGGGTCTGCCGCTGCTTGAACTTGGGCGGGCCCTTGCGAGGAGTGGCAGGGCCTCCTGTTACACGGGTAGCTGATTTGATTTCAGCTTTGGGTGGCTCAAGATTCATTTTGAGCACTCCGAAAAGACGTGCGCAGGTAAGTCGTTGGGTTTCTCAGAAGTGAAGCTGTCGTGATGAAATCTGTGGAAGTAAAACTCATGTTACGATCTGACGAACAGTGTCACCTCGGTCTTCTTTCCTGCCTCCACGTCCAGTTTGATTTGATGTAAGATTTACCGTCACCTCTGTCTGACATTATCAGCTCTAATCCTCTTATGGATCTGACGCTTTCCTGTAACCGAAAGTCCTTGGGGGTCCACGCTGCAGCCTGTCCACCAAAGACGACCCAATTTCCACTAATCCCTGGCTCAAGATAAGATGTCCTAACCCTCTTCATTTCAAGCTGGTTGCACTCATGTAATCCTGTTAAAACAAGGACGACTGGGAAGAGTTGCTGAGCTGTGCACTGAGGGTCTAATCAAACAATCTGTCTCTGTTACAATGCCTGACAAATGTGGATCTTTACTCTTAATGTTGCGGATTTCAATAAAAAGGTGCAGAATTTGAATGTCAGTCCACAATAGTAAAGTTTATATTCTAAAAGAGAAACCTTTTCATGATTTTACAAATGTGTTTTTGGACAATTGTATCTAATACTAGGTGTTGCATATTGTTTTTGTTAAAAAAAAAAAAAAAACCCGAATAAATGAATACATTTTGAAAATAAAGCATATTATGTCATTACATTTTTGTAGCACCAGTTCAGAAGAAAGGACAACCCAAGACACTTTACAATAAAAACAAGTTCAATTTATATCAAACCGAAGATAATTCAATCCAATGAAATTCAAAGACTAAGGCGGTTTAAAATTAAATGAGCTACATTCCAATTCAAACCTAATTATGACACAGAAGAAAAAAAATACAATTAAATTGATTATATCAGCTGGTAAAATCAGATTGTTTTCTTAAAGTCTGATAATTTCATAAATTATCTGCAAATAAGGGATAAATGTGACTTCCTTTCATCTGCAGATCATCCCCAGGTACCTATGCATAATAAATCCACCTGACTTCCAATGTACTCACCAGCTGATTGACTGAAGCACAGCCAAACGAGTGGATGTGGGTGCAGCACTGCTCAGTCTAGCAGATGAGTGGACTTCTATGCTAGGCTCGCTGTGAGGGCTGATTTGGACCTCAGGGTCTCTTATAACCCAACTCCAGCAGGCGATTATGAAGGCACCGCCTCCAAACTCTTATGACAACATATCAATTGTTTGGGCTTGAGGCAAACTGAATTTTTCAGGGTTCGAATACATTTTCATCTTAGTGCAGTTTTGGTTGCTTTTTGTGAGTTTTCATGTTACTTTGTACATTAAATCTGTAATGACTTTAACCGAACATTTCTACCTCTTGTTACTTAAGAGGACTGTTGTGCCTATTTTTAATGTAAAAGGGGCTCATCTACACTCAAGAAATCTGTTGAAACCTTGTTTAAATTACCATTTCTATCACATAATTTGTCAATTTTAAGCCTTGAAATGCTTTTTTTTTTATGGCTTTCTCCCATTTTCAGACTCTGTTATATTTTGTAGAACATTTTATAAAACCTTAAGCTCCAGAAATGTCTCCTAAGGTTTCTAGAAATTTCACGTCAACACTAGGAAGGTAATTAAACTACTGACTGAAGACAATGAGGATGCAGGACAAGATAACTCAGACCAGATTATGTTCATGCAGATTATCAATGTCACAGGAAGATTCCTAGAGCTGCCAGAATCTTCCCCGGCTGTTTGCAACGCAATTCTCCAACATCTGCTGTGTTCATATAGAAAGTTTTCCCAACCAAGCTGGTTTTATTGCGACTTTAAAATCCCCTACCCTAAGCAATACTCTACAATTTAAACAGACAGAAAGGTCGCAAATTGGAGACAGATAATACTTTATTATCCATTATTAAAAGAAAAAAAAATGCTGTAGCTTTCACATCTTATATATGAGTTGGCTTTTTTGGACAGTATACATTGCAAACGTAACATGCTATTCACGCAACAGAAGTTTGACTACAGCAACAGAAAATAAATAAATTAAAAGATATTTTTTCAAGTTCAAAATGTTTTCAACTGTACCAGTCATTGCAGTTGACAAAACTGAAAACACAAAAATAGCTGAATCTGTACTTGTCATTCATGTGCAAGCTAACTTTAGCAGTGCAGCTAAGCTAGCAGTTAGAAGAAGTTATATTGTGCTGGATTTGTGTTCAGGTGTGAAAGAATTTCCAAATTTGTTATGCAAATATCTAACAGGGAAGCTTCCTAAAGTTGGAGTTTCCTCAAATCCTCACCCAGAAATTGGCTACCACTCATATAAGTGAAAATGACAATAATAAACAGTTTACTTTTGACACCGTGTCTCCTAGTGTAGCAAACGGCAGACATTAACTTTGCTGAATGTTTGTGGACATGATCTTTTAGTGGTTGAATTCCTCAAAAGCTGAAGCATATATTGTCTTCTTGCACTGTTAATAGTAGTTAGATTACTCACTGAAGACAACACGTCAATGAAACATGGAATAGACGATTGTGAGGTCTTTACCAAATCTGATTTCTGACTTTCAGTAAAATACAAATGTTAGAAAAGTAGCTATAAAAACACCCATGATCTATTTTAGTTTTGCAGTATTGTTACTGTTACATTGTTACTCTGGCTTTCTCCCACAGTCCAAAAACATGACAGTCAGGTTATTGGTGTCTCCAAACTGTCCTTAGATGTGTGTCTGTGGTGTTCTGCAATGAACTGGTGATCTGTCCAGGGTGTTCCGCCTCTCACCCAATGACTGCTGGGGATAGGCACCAACCCCTTTGTAACCCTGCAGGCAAGGACAATCAAGTACACAATGGATGGATGAATGAATGTTTCTTTTGTTTTGCCGTGAATTTTTTTCCTTGCCTCCAGGCTGTCTGTGCAGCTGACTTGAGGCCTGCGCTATTCCCTTAGCAGGATGGTCAGAAGGGAAACTATGTTTGACTCTTGTTGTTTTACAGAGGTGAATGAACTGTGTTAACAGAACAGTTATATTAAATATGAAAAGGTACAGCATTCTGATAAATAGTTTATCTTTTTACACTGCCATAATGTGTGAAACCCTTTAATCCTCCAGGACAGTAACAAAATATTCTCATATGTAAAATTTCTAACAAAATCAAAAGACTATATCACACTTTGGAGAGAAGGTCGTGGTTTTATGGTATCAATACAACCAAATCATCTGCATAAAGCAAAGAATGTACCAGTAAGTACCCATATAAGGGTTATATAAGGTACCCTTATAAGCTATTGCTTTAAAAGTTACGGTCATACCAGCAGGGCCCTGATCTTGGCTTGTTATGTCTCATTAAACAAATACTTTCTGCATTTGAACGTCTTGAACTCTTCCCACATCTGTTGTTGAATTTCTGGATGACCAAAATTATAGAACACAACTCCAGATATATTTGTTTTTACCTGCTAAGCGTTCAGTTATTTTGTTGCCATCGTTGAAGTTGACCACAACCAAACGAATGAAGATTTTAATTATTCGAAAGCACATCTACTCAGATTTATGCCACCTAATTAACACACACTGCCATGACGCAAAGTGAAACTGGAGCCTTGGCATCAGCGATAATCTGTCTCGACTTTATCCGACACTCTCAGAGTCATCGAGTTCAGACTGCTGTGTATGATCAGTAAAATCCGATGCATAACCCAGATCAGGGCATCACTGTGCAAGGAAGGAGCTGCGGCACTGATCACTGTATTATTAACACCGTACAAGTGTATTGTATTACTACGTTAGTGCTGACTCAGAGCATGAGAACAGGGTCACCGTTACCTTGGTGATCTGGACGTGAGGGACGGCAGCCTGTGCAGAGCTCACCAGCCAAGTGACTGACAGACGTCAATAATGGCACGTGCCTCCATCAGTCCTCTAAATCCTATTAACATCAGGAGAACATCAATACTTGGAAGATAAATATTTGAAGTGCAAGTCAGTGACACAGAAAGGGTTTTTTGATTTTATTAGTTAAATGTGTTAGAAGCTGTATTTTACGACAAACAGCAGGGAAACTGATTTTATGGGGGTGGGGGGCATCAGTATAATAATGAAATTATTGACAAAAATCCAGAAAATATTTCAGTAGTCAGGAAAACTTTCACACTGGGTTTAGGACTCCCTCTAGTGGTCACTGATATGTTTGAATGTTTCGTGACCTATCAGAAGAGCTGTATAGATGCACTACTGAAATTGTAAAGCAGGACATCACTTTTTAATTAATTTGTATGTTTTATGAAGGATGCTATAGTTTTAAAATTTGGGGATTCTCTTATTTGCTCATATTAAAAAAAAAAAAAAAAAAACTGAACCAAGTTTTGCTGGCCATAAAACTTTCTTAGCCTTTGTTTTTGAGTTATCCCATAAATATGAGACACACACTGCTTTAACATCCTTCAGGTTTTGGCTCCTTGAAGACAAAGTTCCGATTTCCAAGCAGGCTTATCATAAGCTATGACCAATCGATATCTTGCCGTGAATAATTTTTTTAGTTTAACTTTTTTTTTGGGTAAACAGGTTAGTTTCAAAGATATTTGTGGGTCAAATATCTTTGAGACAAAAGAGCTGAGACAAAAATTGATGAAAATCTGCTCTGATAAAGTAACATTACTCAATAGTCATAAGCTTCCCACAAAACGCTACTTTCAAAACTCTAACTTATCCCATAAATAAAGCTTATTGAGAATGAGAATGACTATAGATGAAACTTGAAATATGAGATGACCAACTAAATGTTAATAAACGTCAAGTCTTGTGGCACATTTTCAAACTTATGAAAATACCACAGAAATACAATCACAAAATTACTCCGTCATTCCCATTGTCATGAAAAGATTTTACTAATCTTAGCTAATAATTCGGTGACCACTTAGGGACTCAATACATTGATATATAGTTTCTAGATAGTCATGAAAAAAAATGTAAACAAGACAGTGGCTTCTGTTGAGTCAAGACGTTACAGAAGACGGCGAATTCCACACCACTGATCCCAATTTACACATTATTCCTGTGCATCAAAAGTAACACATGTACTTCAAAGAGAAGACTTCCACAATATCTAAGTGGATCTCATGTTTAAACTTGTTTAATAAATTTTTTATGTGTTAAATCAGCATACATAGCAAGATAGGAAATAGTGGGGAAGCAGCTTTGAGATGAAAACTCAAAGCTGTAGAAGTGAGCTGTAGAAATGCGTTTCGCAACCACTTCTACCAAGTGAAGCTATGACTGACCATGAACATGCAGTGCAATTTCCTGTTTTGAGGTTAGAAAGTGTGCCATTTCCTCAGCCATTATCTCAAACATCATCACGACAAATTTCTTGACACACACAGCTCACGCAAAAAAAAAAAAACCCTACCTGTTCACTTGCACAACTTATTTTTGGAGGAAGATTTGTGGTATAAGTCGCAAAATTTAAAACTGATTTTGAATCGACACTTTGAGACAACAGCAGCTCATTCCTACAGCCTTTTTACTGTTTGAACAATGCAGATAGTTACTCCTTTTTTTTTAGTTATAACTGATAGGTTTGTTTGGCTATTTGGACTATTTCTCTGTGCCCAGAAGGGAGAAAAAAGTAGGAACCTTTAAGTTAAAATAAATAAATAGAACAGATTTTATTTAAAAAAAAAATCTCTGAGAAACTTACTATAATAGAATATAATTAAATTACAACAAAATTACACACAGATGATTTTCAAAAAAAAAGTGCATTTGTGAATTAAAGCTACAGGAGACTAAAAGAGACACAATGCGATCTATCAATAAAATGCCAAAGGACGCTTCAACATTTTCTTGTCAAAACTCTCTGGCTGCTTGCAGGGAAAAAAAAAAAAACAGAACACAACACAAGTCACTTAGTGAGCTTACATAAAGCCCATAAACTGAATGAAAATCTGACCACATGAGGTAGGTGGGAGTCCATGGAAAGCATCACGTCTTTTTCAGCAGTCTGATCTCCATCTTAAGATATGCCTTGAGATTCTCGTCAAGAACATTTTCCTCTATGGCAGCGAGCGCTCTATCTCCTCCATCGTGATAATACGCCAGGAGCTGCTCCGCATGTTCGATCCAAACGCAGTTATGGCAACCACTCATGCAGCAGTGGGTGGGAGCAGGTGGGGGTCCTTTCTCAGGGGACCAAGTAGAAGAGGAGTCCTGGCTCTGATCTAAGGAGGCACTGTCAGCCAGGTCCGTCACTGCAGTAGGAGGAGAGGATTCTGGTCCGGCTGGCAAAGCACGAATGATCCCACTATGGAGACAACGTCTCCATAAATGTAGAGGACAGAGACTGATGCGATGAGCTTTCATGTGTAACAAGGAAACAAAGAAGATCTGGAAAACATAAGATTGCTTTCATTATTTATCCGGTTTTCCATTTCAAAGGCGAGGAACAGTAAGAAATTTCCAAAAACAGCAGCAGTTTATTAGCTGATTACTGATAAAATGAACCAAGTTTGACTTTTCAGAGATTAAAACACTGTAAAATGTCTCTATAAAAATATGCTCTGCCTAAATTTAAAGGCAAGATAGACAACTGTGATTTTCAAAAAAAAAAAAAGAAAAGAAAACTATTTTTAATCTTAATTAATGTTATTGCAGGATGGAGTTTGAAGCTCCACTCAGTTGAAAAGAAGATGTTTCCATCCTTCATTACATAATAATCAAGAGATTGTGTTAGGTTAGCAACAACCTGTCAGCACATTTAAACTTAACTGAAACACCCATTTTAATGAGTACATTTAGTGTTAAACATAAATATCTGCTCTCTCAACATGAAGTGCAAGAATCCACTATTATTTTTGCTGGCTGCATACAACTTTCAAATTTTCTGAGAAACTGAATTTTGGGCTTTATCAGATGTAAGTCAGCCTTAATTCATCAAGTATAAGTAGGATATACGTTGATTTTATGTAATTACATTTTAATCTCTATATGTTTATGCTGATCTTACTTTATATTTAGGTGCATAAACTGCTAATGTTAGTCTAGTAAGAAGAAGTAAACGGCATGGAAATGGAAAATTATACATAGAGACGTTTCAGGCGCAATCTTTTTCGGGTAATAAGATTAACAATACATATATTTGAGTTATTTACAAAGTGTGGCTTCCTTTTATGGCATAATTTATTAACAATAATGCACGGCCTAGAAAACAAACCCTTCCTTGTTAATAACTGTCAAAAGTTAAAATAACTATGTGAAAATACAGTTACTATTGATAAATTATTATTAATTATTATTCACAAATGTATGAATAATTTGTCTGTTAATTAGGAACATTCTGGTAGAAAAAACCTAAAGGACACCTCTTGTCTTATACAATGAAAGACAAACATAACTAAAAACATAACTAAAAAAAACATAACTAAAATTGATTCTAGTGTAATAAAGCAGGTGTTAGCTTAGCATCCAACCTTGTGTAAAGACACCGACGACCTCCCGGATTTAACACCGAAACAGAACATCTTCCCGGTCTGCGGGTCTCATGCGGTTTCATTTCCTTTTATCCACCGTTTTCATCAGTCTTCTCGCTTCTCTTATTAAATAAATTCACAATTTGGAACCTTAAAAAAAACTGTGTCGTCACTTCTATTTTCAACTTTCACCTTTCATAAACGCTTGTAAACACAAGATTTGATTGGTCGACATAAAATTATATAACCAATCAATTTCTACTCTTTCATTCTTTTTAACCAATGGGGAACTTGAATTAGTCGATAGGCGGGCTGAACGCCACTTCTCTTGTGTGGCCGCCAGATGGCATCATCTCTACATCTCAGTTTCTGCTCACTTAAAGATCAAATAGTAACACGAAAATATCCAAATCAGCTACTTAAATTTCTGTGACTAAGCGTATTATGTAAATCATATATAAATAAGATTTATATATAAACAGATATTCATCAATCCTATTAATAAATATGAATAAGTGATCGACATCACCAAAAAATGTGGTCAGTCTTTTGTCAGGAATTATAATAAACTTAAGCTTCATATTCTCTCATTGCCATGAAGTATGTAACAGGTGGCTCTAATTGCAGGGAGGTGAATATGTCTAATCAGAACAGCATCATCTAGGTCGAGACAAACAAATTTATGACTCGCTGTCCCATGTATGCAGTGCTCTTTAGATGCATTGTACATTTTATTCTTGTAATTATTGTCTCTGGTTCTACTTAAACAAACACAACATGAAAGAGATTTTCCATTTAGGTTGGTCATCATTCATCCTCTGCTTTTTTTTTTTTTTTTTTTTGTCTTGTTTGAACACAACACAGCTTTATAAAGACAGAGGTTCCATTCAAGACTGCTTTTCTCAATGAAACTTTGAAAATGTATGGAAAAAATATTAATTAAAACATTCAGTATGTGCCTAATAAAAAACTGGATTCTGTTGTGGTAACATTTTGTGGCTACTGCACAGAAAGACATAGAAAATGGGCTGAAATTAGCAGCAGTTTTATCCAAATGTTCTGTGTCATATTGGTGTGAGTCTGAGATATGCGTGTCCCCAGAACAAAAGCAAAAGTTTGAGCTTAAATGGGTCTTATAAGACCATAGGCTGCCACCAAATTATTTAAAAAGTAGCTTTGGGAGAAGAAAGTCAATATTTTGGGTGTGACCATCACAAAACCCTCATCAAAGCCAAATGAAATGGTGTGTACAACCAAAACTCCCTAGAAAACTGGCTCAGTCTAACCAGTTCTGCCTGGAGAAATGGGCTAAAATTCCAGGAAGCTGTTGTGGGAACATTGCTCCAAACATTTGACCAAAGTCATACAGTTTAATATCCTATTCTTCCAAATACTAAGAAAATGTTAACTATTGAAGATTGTTTAAAAAAATACTTAAACATTCCTGTGGTATGGACAAAGAAAAAAAGCTAATCCCAATGATTGGAAAAGGAAAAAAAAAAAAAGCTTCAATCCTAAGCAAAGTCAGACAGGGATGGACAAGTGGTTATGTGTCTTTTTACACAGTGTATGTAAATGTCTGCTTTGTTGCAATTAAAAAAAATTAGTTGAGGAAGCTGACGACCACATGATGGTTCCAGTTCTGATACAGGAAAGTGAAGGTCTTTAAAGGTTATGTAAAGAAAGCAGAAACCTCTAAAAAATTAGAGACTGACTGAAGTTAAAACAAACTTAGTCTGAAAGAGTCTCTATTGAACTGGTTTTGGTCAGTAAAGAAATTGGAAGCGAACCCTCCTCTGATGTGGTATTTCTCTGCTAATGACGGCAGCCCCATCAACTGTTTGAGTCAGTCAGCGAAACGTGTAGAGGTGAATGTGTGTTTGTGCTGCGAGCCGACTTCCCCACAGACCTCAGTGTTTGTGTCCATGGTGACAAGCTGCGTTATCTCCCCTGTGATTTCATCCAGAGGACAGGCAGACAGGAGCTCACACAAAGCTTCATACCTCAGAGCCGCCAACCGACACAGTGGAGAAACAATCAGACATCAGAAGGTATCTGTGCAAACAGAGGAGTGTTCTAGGAAAGTCAAACAAATCTCACACAGTGTACACACACACACACAAAAGAAAAATGCGATTTGCACAACAGAAACATTTTTCATGTAAATGAAAATGTATTTTGCTTAGCTTTGCGAAACAACTTCTCGTGTATGCCTAAGGAGATTGTACAGAAATATACAGAAAAACTGCATTCAAGAAAGAAAGCTAATCAGTTTTCAAATACACTACTCAGGCACATTCATTTCGTATTTTCAGTGATTTATTCAAATTGTTATTTTACTGAAATGGGATGACTGTAAAACTTGAGATCAGAACCCTTAATTTATTGTAGATGTTCTTGAATTCCCACAAGTAAAATGTCCTTATTGATTTGGTCAAAAACTGTCCAAAGCAGCTGTTGATATTGGCAATATGGAAGTTCCCCAGGGCAGCACTAGAAGAGGGGAGAATGAACATCATGTTTTTTTTGTAAAAAATGACATATTTACATATCAGTTGCATTCTGCCTGCGACAGACTGGCGACCTGTCCAGGGTGTACCCCGCCTCTCGGCCGGAACGGAGATAGGTACCAGCAACCCCTCCCAACCCCACTAAGGGACAAGGGTGTAAAGAAAATGGATGGATGGATGGAGTTGCATTCTGCACATTTAACATTTTTAATCAGTCATTGTACAGTCACATGTAAGTGTAAAAACAAAAAAATCTGGTTGCTATTCTTCCTGCAGGTGTTTAAAGCAAATAAAAAAAATAAATAAATAAGTCTTGCATTTCAAATGCAACACTGAAATGAAACAAAAGCATAATCTGCAGCCAGTTTGTGTAGCCCAGGCTGCAATTAAAAACTTTCAGACATGTTTTAGTCCTCAGGTATCCTTCAAAGTTTTCCTGACAGAATAACAGCACCAGCTTTGTCCAAAGCGCACAAAGACTGCACTGTATGCAGCTAGAGAGCTTTTATTAATGGGAGAAACAGGTTGGATGGCGACTTATAACAATCAGGAGAAAATGTGTTTGTGAGAAACTGCAGAAAATTCAGAGTGTATGGCGAGCTGTTGTAAAGTGTGGAAATTTTAAAAATGAGAATAATATTGAGAAAATGCAACAACACATCTCAGAAATCATTGTAGTTTGAGAAACCTTTATGGAAGTCTACAGTCTTCTTCCCTATCGGCTGATTTTCTTTGGATTTTTGCATGATGCCTCAGAAGAAAGCAGCATGTTTGATGCATTCATTGCCAAACGGTTGTGGGTCCTGAACTGGAACTAAGACACCAATGAAGGTATTCCACCGAAACCCAAAACATCCCATCATTTTGTAAAACCTCACACCCAACTGTTTGAACCGACTCATCAAATTCTGTAATGACTCTCACGCTACAACTAAAGCTTTCCCCCCAAAGGACACGTTGACAACAACAAACAAAGCAGAGTCACATAGGAAACATCCAACTAAACCTGAGCAATGAAGAGATGTTTTGCAGGGAACAACAGGAGCTTCCAGGAAGTGCAACAGGAACATTTATCTGGACTCTCATGAAAGAGCACATTCAACACTAGAGTCCAGAGAGCGTGAGGATCTGCTTCCTGGTGACTTTCCTCTTCTCTTCTGGTTTGGAATCTCTTTGGTTAATCAGGCAAACATCACAGTTGGTACTGATAGGGTTAGGGTTACCCAGTTCTACAAGGTAGAACTAGTACCTGTCATAGCTAAACAAATCCACCGATGACTAGAGGGAAGCATTTGCATTTCGTCCTGCTGGATAAATACCAGGCTTTTATGCATGAAGAAGAAACAGGAAATAGGTGTTTGTTTCTGCAACGGGCCAATTCACTTGTGTTTGGAAGGTGCATCATGATGCTCAAGTTTTTCCTTTGTTATGTTTCAGTGACCAAATGCACTTTAATTCATGTGCCACATTTTGCATCAATGTGGCCATTCAAAATGACCCCGCAACCACAGTGTTAGTGACTTCACCGTATGTTTACCCTGCTGGTAAATCATTCTCCAGTTTGCTCATGAGGTCAAGTGAAGGTCTGTGGCAGCGGAGAAACAGCAGCTAGCAGAATGCGTCGTGTGTTTTTGCTCTGAGGGGCTTCAGGCGGGGTGACCAATCAGAGGCCTTCAGGTATTGACCAGAGACACTTTTATGTGTTTTTTTTTTTTTTTTTTTTTTTTAGTAGAAGCACCGGCATGTAACAGCTTTGACTTAAGCATTCATGCAGCTGAGCGTTGTAAAATTGTTTGTCTGGAGAAAAGCCTGCGTTGTTGGATGCTGTGGCGGTTTTTTGGGGGAGGAAGGTGGCTGTTATTTTGACTTCTGCGCCACATAAGTGCTGCCAACTTTACTGGGCTGAGTTCGTCAGTCGGATAAATCAAAAAAGAAAAAAGAAAAAAAAACACGGACGAAAGGAACGCAGTGGAAACAAACATTTACCCAACTATTAAAACTCGTACTTACATTCAACAGTCACATTACTATGCAGCACCACAAAAATGACTGGAATACCGAAACTTGTGGAGAGAGTTAGATAACCTTTAGAAATATGTACTGCACCTTGAAAAAAAAAAAAAATATTTGTAGTTTATTGAAACTTTTCACATTTTGTAGCATTACAAACCCAAAGTTTAACTTATTTCATTGACATTTTTTGCTGTGTTCTTTGGTCTTATGGTGTTTGTTCTCAAAATACCTTCAAAGAACAGCTGCACTCATCCAGAGGTTAAAACTACAAATAGATTTTGTATGCTCAATAAAGTGAAGGCACTTTGTTGCACTTGATTTTGTTTACGACTAAATGAGTAAGAAATCTTGAATACATCTGCGACAAAACGAAAACTTGAGTTAGTTTTCCTTCAACTTCACAATTGCACAATACATTGTCACTATTCACTCAAATCATCGAGGCTTGTTTATGTAATGTGACAGTATGCCACATATGTCAATCTACATGTCTTACTTCTTTGCTCATGCTGTAAAAAAACAAATTTGGGCCTGTTGTTGGCAATGCAGCATTACAACAAACTAAACAAAGGACTTGAATTCTCCCTGGAGCTCTGGTAAAATGTGGACACACTGAAACACTCACTGGGCTTGGTGTTTGAACTGGTTATCTAACTAATTGTTGTTTCTGGAA